AGAGGGAAATAGAGAAATGGCACAACTGATCTAATACCCTTCAGCTCAGCCGAAGTTTGATACTTATGTCAGTTTTTTCACAAGTTGAAAACATCCGAGTACAAACGGCAAAAAGAAGTCTCAGCAGAAATGATTCTCGCTAGCCGAAGTTCTGCACTTAGCAAATATTTGAAAGATCATTCAAAGAAAGCAGTAAAGTGCGAAGACTGGTAAAGCGAAGAAAAAAAAAAATACACAAGAAAGCTGAGAAAGTGAACTTCTTTGAAATAAAAATGTTGAATTACAAAAATAGTCGGCAGCCGCCCACAAGCGGAAAGTAACAGCTGCCGAAATACGTACAGGCAAAATAAAAATATAATAAGCTGTTGTACGATAAGGCAAGCTGAAGCAAAAAAAAAAAACAAAAGGCAAAAACTCAGAAAGCGGCAAGTCTAAAGTTAAGCACATGATGAACCGCAAGATTCTGAAGACGACTGCCCGAGTTCCTATGCTTCAGCCGGAGGATCAGACTGATCAGCGTTGAGTCCCATGGTGGCCTCAGCCCCAGCAGCAGAAGAGGCGGGCTTTGCACTTTGCCGAGCCTCCCTTTCCCTCTGCTCAGCTTCCAACTCCAGTCTTTCAGCTTCCTCTTCGGCTTCCTCAGCCTTAAGAATTTCAGCTTCAGCTGGAGTTGCATACTTCATGTGAGGGTCTTCGGGATTCTGGACCCACTCAGCACATTTAGACCAGTCCAGCTTCGGCTCAGCATGAAGGCAGAGTCTTCGGCATACTCGGAATCCGTTTCTGAAACCCATCTCATATTCCTCTTGGGTGTAAACACGGACTTTGAGTAAAGCCTCAGCATCAGCCAGCTTCTTCTGGGTCTCCTCCAAGTCCTCCTTGGATTTCTTCAGCTGTTCAGCGACTTTGGAGGAGGACCCCTTCAGCTCATTCAGCTCTTGCTGAATTTGGAAAGCCTTTGTCTGAGCTTGGGCCACTTCAACTTTCTGGATCAGCAGTTGATCCTCAGCCTCTTGGAATTTAGCTCTTTGAGCTTCAGCAGCAGCAGCAGCCTCTGAGAGTTGGACGTCTTTGGCCAAGAGCAACTCTTCAGCAGCCATTCGGCTGGCTTCAAGAGCCTCTAGACGCTGCTGCACTTCAGCTTGTGCAGCAGTTCCTTCTTGAATTCGGCTCTCAATAGCAGCCTTGAATTTGGAGACGTCCACTCCCATATGCTCCTGGAGGAATTTTTCCCCTTCCATCAGTGGGGGAAAAACCTCCATCTCCATAGCATCGCAGAAGGTTTTCAGAGCTTCGGCAGCTTTTTTACCGTACTCCTCAACCTCCTGCTGCTTCTCTTCAGCTGCTGCTTGCTTCAGCTTAGCAAGCTTAACTTCCTCTTCAGCCACCTTCCTTTCGTGCACAGCAGCGTCTACCCTATCTTGTAGGGTATCAATCAGCTCTACAGTGAGAGTCTGATTGTGCACGAACTGAAAACAGGAAGACCAAAAAAATAAGTAATAAGAAAAAAATAGAGCTGAATTTCGGAGGAAATGAAGGAAAATTACCTGCATCATCAGCAGTTGGTTAGACCTGGCTGGGTCAGGAACTGATCTACTGGATTCGCCCATCCCAGCAGTGGCCTTCAGCGACCAGATCCTTGCCCTGTCTACTTCGGACATGCCAGCAAAATTGCCGAAGTAGGCTGCAGCTCCTTCTCGGTTTTGACCCCATATGAGGTCCCAGATGTGATCTGGGATTGGAATTCGGGGGGCCGAGAAACCCATTTCTCCAGAATGCAGAGTCTGGAAAGAAGGGAAGGACGACGATGGAGCTTGATTAGCTTTGGTTGTCTCAGCATCGTCCTTCTCAGAGGAGTCAAGTACTATGACCTCTTCTTCAGGGGTGAGGACGAAAGCCTCAACCTCTCTTGCGATATCTGCCGTGAAGCCTTCAGCACTTGACATCACGGCATCTTTATTTCCGTGCTCAGCAGCACTCTCCTTGATTTCTTCTTGGACCCCTCCCTTAGGTTCGGGAGTCCTCTGATCCACCTCCATCTCAGGAGGTGGCGGAGGGGTCTTTTGAGGAGATTGGGGTGTTGGCTGGGGAACCCTCGGCGATCCATTGCCTTCCTCAGGTTCCCTTATTGCGACGCCGATGGTCATCGGCCTCTGCTGAAAGTCATGAGGGCCGATGATGGCCATCCTTCGGCGCCTTTTCAGAAGGGGCTGCTCGTCCATATCTGAGTCTGAAGACTCTTGTATTTGATCTTCGGGACGAACAGGAGCTTTGCCTTCTCTGTGTCTGTTACTCTCTTCAGACTGTAACAGACAGGGGGGAAGAAGAGTGTGAGTAAAAAAAAAAAAAAAGAAGAAAGACAAAGTTAAGTCTAAAGGCTCACCGAGGTCTTCAGCAAAGCCTCGTCTTCTTCAGCTGCCCTAGCCGCAGCTTCTTCAGCAACTCTGGAGGACCCTTCTCCACCTTCACAAGCTTCAATAACCCGTGCAACCTCTTCGGCTGTACGGGCAGCTTCAGCTTCTTCTTCCAGCAGCTGAAACAAGGGATCTCTCTTCTTCCACCAAGGCTTCTGCCTCTGATACAGAGCAACAGCCTCAATTTGGAAGTGGGAAGAGTCTAGGTGAACCTCTCGGCGCCTTGGTTCAGTGATAGGGGGAGCCCGATCAGTTACGACTCGTTCTCGGTTGACGCCAAGGCGAGCGTAATCAATGCCGACGTTGGTCTCGTCCCGTTCTGAAAAAGAAAAGGGGAGAAGTCAATTCAGTTAGTTCGGCACATCACAAGAAAGCAAAATGAAAGAAGAAAAGAGATAATTAAAAGGCCTCGGCCCCAGCCGAAGAAGATTACCATCCCTAAACTTTCGGCTGAGGCCGACAGCTGCCAGCATATTCTCTTGGAAAACGTAGTGCGTATCGGGGAGCCAAGTCTCCGGGATATGCTGCATTCGGCCGCTGCCTCCCCGGTTCGGCAGCTTGCCGAAGATGTTCTGCTGATTAAGGTTCGGGTCTGGCCCGCTATCTTCGGGAGGACCTAAACTTCCCATATCAGGATCCGGCTCGGCAAGATACCGGGGAGCGCTGAAAACGTAAGGGTGGCTCGGCTCCGTGGGTGCCCTAACCCAAATCCATTGACCTCTCCAGTCCTTGTCTGAAGAGTCGTTCGGCCACATGGTTAGGAACGGGGGCCGAGACTCAATCCGATACCACCCAGAGCCATGGCATCCGTGCCCACTTTGAATGTTTGGCACTAGCCGATGGAGCCTTTTGAAGCAATGCAGGTTCGGCACGTACCTGAAGAATTTGCAGACCCATAAGTACGTCATTACCCTTCGGATGCTGGTGGGGGTCAGCTGGCACAGGGAAATGTTGTAATGGATCAGCAAGTCTCGGACGAAAACGTCCAAAGGGAACCTCAGCCCATACTGAAGCTGTCTCGTGTACACCCCCACATACCCCGGGGGTGGACGATGGATTCTATCGGATGCTGAGGGCATTCGGCACCAATATCCATCAGCTTCAAAAATGCCGTAGTGCAACTCAATTTGCTCGGCAAACCGGTACTGATCAGCATTCTCCACCCACCATGAGTAGGGGCGGTTCTTTATCATGGCCGAAGCTACTTCGGCATCCTCCCACTCTGAAAACCCTGGGAGGATATCCCAAAGGACAGCGGGAACTTCATCATCCCGTCCTGAAGCGCTCACCCCCTCAGCCCTCTGAGGAGGAGCCGAAGAAATGGGAGTCGCCCTAACCCCTTCAGCAGGGTCAGACTCTGTCCTTCGTCCATTCCAGGTCCCAATCCTGTCCCTGGGATCGGGGATTAGCCTTGCTCTTCTTGGAGCACGGGCTCCACCTCTAACTCCCCTCACCATTGACGAATTTCGAAGGAAAAAGTCGAAAAAGGGGAAAGAGTGCAAAGTCGAAGAAAAATGAAATAAAATCAAAGGAATTTACCTTGATCTGAAGCAAAAGCCGCCGATTTACGAATTGGTAGTGACAAGTCTCAGCTTCTAAGCTTAATGCTCGGGGAATTTGCGAAGTTTTGATGCGGGCTCTTGAGCGTTCTTGAGAATTCTGGGTTTGTGTTGATGAATGAGTGGGGAGAGAAGACGCGCCTCTATTTATATCTCCAGAAATGGGAATTCAAGGAGTCTGCGTTTCAATTTCTCTCAAGCACCCCACTAAGTAACCGTTAAACACACGACCTTGCAGTTAAATCGCCCACTACCCGTCCAACTTCCGCAATTATCCACATTAACTGTTGTTATCTCATTAATCATGGGTTAATTACGGTTTAAATTCACATTTTTGGATTAACAAATCATTCACTTCCCTCCTTTTCTGATTAAATCAAACCCGACCCGTCATCCTTCCAAATCGGGTCTGGGGGGCAAGTTGTTTGGGTCCAATTTAGTCCAATTGGGCCTGGTCACTGAATGATCCAATTAAAAGCCCAAGGTTAAGGTTCAACTCTCCAAATGTGCTAAAGTCAAAAATCAACATCCTCAAAGCCATGTCAAGGTCAGTCAACGGCCCAATCAGCTTGGCCCAGCCCAACTGACTTCCGGGCCCAATCCGCCTCCTTCATTAGCCAAGGTATAAAAGCCAACAATTTGGTCAATTCTTGGTAAGACAATAAAGCCTCAAGCAACTAAACTCTTGCACAGCTTTCTCTCTCTAATATACTGACTTAAGCATCGGAGGGGCCTTCCTCGGCGTCCCCCCGAGGCTAGTTTACGTGTATTTGTTGTGCAGGAAACCCTCGGCTCCTGCGTTGTTCGGACCGAGACCAAGTTCCCTCAAGATAAAAGGATCTTCCGAGATTCGATTGTTTTCATCCGAAACAATAGATATTTCTAGAGTTTGTATTTTAGATTCCTAGATATTTCCAGAGTTTGTAATTTAGTTAATTCCACTAGTCTATAGCCTAGTACAGTGGCCTAATTACAGCTAGATTGGTGGCCAAATTACAGCTTTCATATATGTATATAAATTGACGAAATGCAAGGCAAAAGGCACGAGTTCAATCTCTTTCATGGTATCAGGCCTAATTCGGTTCCTCTTCCTCTGTTCCGCACTCCTTCTCCTTCTCCTTTCTTCCATGGATGACATCACAGAACTTCATCCAGCAACAACCGTGGTCAACATTAAGACTTGTGTCCCGATCGTTCTTGATTATGACGGAACACAATACACAAACTAGTCGACATTGTTTCAACTCCACTGCCGAGCTTATTTGGTCATTGACCACATTATACCTGATGCTGCTCCCACTATTTCTTCTTCACCAGAAAACATCGTTGACCCGGTCCTATGGCAGCGGCTGGACGACATCGTCCGCCAATGGATATATAGCACAATATCTAACGATCTCCTTAACACTATCATCAATCCTGACGATAAGGCGATCGATGCTTGGAACCGTTTGAAGGATTTCTTCCAGAATAACAAGTCTGCTAGAGCTCTTCAATTAGAAGCCCAGTTCACTAACACCAAATTAGAAGATTTCAATGGTGTAAAACCGTATTGCACTCGTCTTAAGGTTTTGGCTGACAGTCTACGGAACGTCGGTGATAAGGTGTCGGACAACCGTATGGCCTTTCAACTCCTCAAAGGTCTCTCTGAAGATTAAAAGCCATTTCGATCCTCCGTTCAACATATGCACCCTCTCCCTTCTTTTGACACCCATAGGTCCATGTTAGAGCTTGAGGAGCAGAACAATAATGATGTTACTTCTACCCTTAATTCCAGAATGGACTCATCTCTTATGGCTGACAATGGTGGTACTGCTGGTGGGGATACTTCTCGTAACAACCAAAATCGCACAAACCGCAACAATAACACCCGCAACAATAATTACCACCAAAATAACAACCGTAATAACACCAACAACACCACTAATCAACAACAGCCAGGAAGTTCCGGCAACCGAACACCTCAGTCAAATGGCCAGCAATACGGGTCTGCAGCAACACAAAATCCAGGGTAGTGGTTCTTCCCTCCGTGGGCCTACTGGGGGCCTCAACCATGGGCTACACCTCCTTGTCCATATCCGACATCCGGATGGAATTTTCGTCCCTCTACACCACGACAGCAGTCTTCTCAACAGGGCATTCTTGGTCCTCGTCCTTCTCATGCATACTTCACTGATTCCTCTCCCCATAATATTTCCACCCCAACTGACATTGATCAAGCCATGCATACTCTCACTTTGCAACCACCGGCATGGCAACTTCTACATGGACACTGGGGCTACATCATACATGACTCACTCCCAAGGTAATCTCTCTTCTTATTTTCAATTGAGCAAAAATAAGAATAACGCAATAGTTGTTGGTAATGGTAGTATGATTCCAATTTGTGGATATGGTCACACTTCCCTACCCCATACTTCCCCATCCTTATCCCTTAAAAATGTTCTACATGCTCCAAATATCATCAAAAATCTTATTTCCGTTAGAAAATTCACTTTCGATAATTCTGTTTCGGTAGAATTTGATCCTTTTGGTTTTTCTGTGAAGGACTTGCACACGGGGATGCAAATAATGAGATGTGAAAGCACGGGTAATATTTATCCACTTACAAATTTTCGAGCAAATTCGTCTTCTTTTCCCTCAGTTTTTGCAGCCATCTCTTCTACTATTTGGCATTCTCGTCTAGGTCACCCAGGAGATGTTGTTTTGTCTTCTTTGCAACATAATAATTTAATTCGGTGTAATAAAGCTCGAAAAACTGCTTGTCATTCTTGTCCTTTGGGAAAATTAATGAAATTACCGTTTTCTGCTTCTTATTCTACTACTACATTGCCTTTTGATATTGTTCATAGTGATTTATGGACTTCACCAGTTGTCAGTCATGCAAGCCACAGATATTATGTCCTTTTTCTTGACAATTACAACAACTTTTTATGGACTTTTCCAATAGCCCGTAAGTCTCAAGTCTACTCTCTGGTTTTATCATTCTGCTCTTACATTAAAACTCAGTTTGAACGTGATATTAAACATTTCAATGTGATAATGGTCGCGAATTTGATAATGGTCCATTCCATAAATTTTGTGAACAACATGGCATGTCTTTTCGTTTTTCTTGCCCTCACACCTCTCCTCAAAACGGAAAGGCAGAACAGAAAATAAAATCTATCAATAATATTGTCTGTACTCTTTTAGCTCATGCTTCCATGCCACCATCTTTTTGGCACCATGCATTACAGATGGCCACTTACCTCCTAAACATCTTGCCTTCTAAAATATTAGGCTACAAATCTCCCACTCAAATTTTGTACCAAAAGACTCCTACTTATTCCCATCTTAGAGTCTTTGGATGTCTATGCTTCCCTCTTTTTCCAAACATTCATAAACTACAAGCTCGGTCCACCCCTTGTGTTTTTCTCGGTTATCCATCTAATCACCGCGGTTACAAGTGTTATGATCCGTCCACCCGTAAAATTATTGTAGCTAGACACGTTTGGTTTGATGAGACTACTTTTCCATTTTCAAAAATTCATTCCCCATCTACCTCCACATATGATTTCTTAGACATTGATATTCCCCCGTTACATTTTCATTATCTACATCATTATGCTTCAGCCCCATCCACTACAAATTCCTCTCAACACACGACTCACTCACATGAACCTATCTCCTCTTCCACTTCCTCCTCCCATCCACATAAAGCCCAACCCAATTCTCTATCCTACAAATCTACACAAGCTGAGCCTACTACCTTACAACATCTTCCATCTTCTAGTGGACAATCCATACCCTCCCCTTTTTTGTCATCCTCATCCTCATCCACTCGTATTTCTCCATCACCTCCATCCCGCATGACTACTCGTAGTCAACATGGTATATTTAAGCCAAATCCCAAATACCATGATCATTCTCTAATTGCTTCCACTCCAACTATCTCTCCACTTCCAAAGAACCCGAAGTGTGCACTTAATGATGCAAATTGGAAACATGCTATGCAAGATGAATATAATGCTCTTATTGAAAATAAGACTTGGGATTTAGTCCTGCGTCCTCCTAATGTAAATGTCATTCGTTCCTTGTGGATTTTTCGACATAAAATGAAATCTGATGGCACTTTTGAGAGGCATAAAGCCCGACTTGTAGGTGATAGGAAATCTCAGCGGGAAGGAATTGATTGTGAGGACACGTTTAGTCCGGTTGTCAAACCGGTAACTATCAGGGTGGTTCTCAGTATTGCATTGTCAAAATCTTGGCCAATTCATCAATTAGATGTTAAAAATGTTTTCTTGCATGGAAACTTGAATGAGACTGTCTCCATGTACCAACCCTTCGGCTTTAAGGACCCTACTCTTCCTAATCATGTTTGCTTGCTCCGGAAATCTCTTTATGGTTTGAAGCAGGCACCCAGGGCTTGGTATCAACGTTTTGTTGATTTTGTCTCCTCTTTTGGTTTCGTTAATAGCAAATGTGACAATTCTCTTTTTATCTACTGTCGTGGTTCTGACATTGCATATATCTTACTGTACGTCGATGATATTACTCTCACTGCCTCTTCAGATAATCTTCGGAAATTGATTATGTCAAAGCTCAGCTCTGAATTTGCTATGAAAGACCTTGGTCCTTTGATCTATTTTTTAGGTATTGCAGTTTCCAGAGAAAACGATGGTCTTTTCTTGTCGCAAAGAAAACATGCCGAAGAGATTCTAAAACGGGCAGGCATGTCTAATTGCAAGCCTTGTGCTACTCCTGTTGATACGAAGGGCAAACTCGGGCTAAATGACGGGAAAGCCTATGATGACCCATCTAAATATCGCTAGCTGGCAGGTGCTCTTCAGTACTTAACGTTTACTCGACCTGATATTTCTTATGCTGTTCAACAAGTTTGTCTATTTATGCATGACCCAAAGGTCAAACACATGGAGGCCTTAAAACGTATTCTCCGGTATGTACAAGGAACGATTAATTTTGGTATTTATCTATTTAAATCCTCTACCAATTCCCTCTTGTCATACACGGATGCTGATTAGGGTGGTTGCCCGAACACGCGTCGCTCCACTTCTGGATATTGTGTATTTCTTGGAGATAATTTGGTTTCTTGGTCATCAAAACGACAACCCACATTATCTAAGTCAAGTGCTGAAGCTGAATACAGGGGTGTTGCAAATGTTGTTTCCGAATCATGCTGGATTCGGAACCTATTACTTGAATTGTTATGTCCTATTACAAAAGCCACTCTAGTTTATTATGATAATGTGAGTGCCATATATCTTTCCGGGAATCCCGTCCAACATCAACGAACTAAACACATTGAGATGGATATTCATTTTGCTCGTGAAAAAGTTAAACGTGGAGAAGTCCGGGTTCTTCATGTTCCGTCCCGTTATAAACTAGCTGACTTATTCACAAAGGGTCTCCCGAGAATTCTATTTGATGACTTCAAGAACAGTCTCAACGTTCGTGCTCCTCCCGTTTCGATTGTGGGGGAGTGTTAGACAGAATATTTTAGTATCAATATTTTATGCAATTTCCTTTATTGTATAATAGATATTTCTAGAGTTTGTATTTTAGATTCCTAGATATTTCCAGAGTTTGTAATTTAGCTAATTCCTAGATTTATGCCTAGTCTATAGCCTAGTACAGTGGCCTAATTACAGCTAGATTGGTGGCCAAATTACAGCTTTCATATATGTATATAAATTGACGAAATGCAAGGCAAAAGGCACGAGTTCAATCTCTTTCATGCCAATTGATATCAAATTCATATACTTCTTTCGTTTTTTTAGTGGGGTAGATAAAGTTATTATTTTATTGAAAATTAAAGTAGTGTGAGAAAGGGGGGGGACCATTAGAGGTGTAAGAAATGATAAAGTAAGAAATATGGGGACATTAGTGGGTAAAGATATATTATTAAATTGTAAGAGATTTTTAAAAATGGAACTCTAGCTTATGAAAAAAACGAACGAAAATAGTAACTCTAGCTTATAAATAAAAAACGGAGGGAGTATTTGTTAAGTAATCATAGTTTAATAATATTCAAATAAGTTATTTTGGGTATTATAAATCGTTATTTATAGAGCATAATTTACCAATTAGAATAAAATCACATTATTTTAGATGACATTTAACATTTAATTTTTAGATGATCTCATTTTCAAATACAACGTAATTTAAAATGCACGTAATTAGTTTTACCAAATATACGACACTTAACACTTTTTTTCTTTTTTGATTGTTCACTAGATGTCTGTGCAATGCACGGTTTGTTTGTATTTTTTTTTAAAAAAAATATTATTTGTATGTATGTGATAAAATTTGGTATTTTTTTTTATCATTTAATATGTTTAATTTAAAATAAATTGTGAATTTCATCTCATTCGTTATACATTTAGATAAAATTCCTAATTTTTTTTAATAGAGATAAAATTCATAATATCAAAAGATAATAATTTATATTTAATTAATTTAAATTTTAAAATCACATTCGCCAATTTTGTTTATGTGACATTTGAATTATTTAATTCTAAAAAAAAATTATAAATCCCTTATTTTATTGACTATAACTTAAGGGATTTATAATCACAAATTTTAATCGATCTTTAAAAACTCGAGAATAAACTATATGTATATATTACTTTATCCGTTTATTTTTTAGTTGACACGT